AAGTCATTTGATAATCTAATGGGAGATCCCTTGTATGTGACTTTCCGTCTCTCTCTTGCGGCCTGTAAGATTTTCTCTTTGTCCTGAACAATTGCCATGGTAATTATGATGTGTCTTGGTGTGGGTCTTTTCGGGTTCACCTTGTTTGGGATCATATGTATATTTAGGAGCAACTTCCAATTTGGGGGGAACATACCTGTACATGTGTCATTTTGAATTTGGAGGAAGTAAGGAAGGGAGAGGGCAAAGGTGGTGTGAGCAAGGGTGTGCCAGGGTGTCCTTGCATTTTTGTGTCAGGGAAACTTAAGAGGTCTAGGGCTTAGTTAATACTTAACTGTCAATTTTCCCATTAAGACAAAACATATGATGAAATTCCCTGATGTTCTTGTATATCAACTCCTCTCTTATTATACTTGTCCTTAAAATCCTGCAGGACATTTAAGCTACATGATGGCTTTGCTCCATAGAAGAAACTTTATAAGGCTAGACTCAGACAAGCAAATAAACCAAAAAATAAGATTTTAGATATCCCCCAACCCCAAAGTTATGTGACTTGTTTCCTGGGGTAGATTGAAACTCATTAACATCTTTAGCAATAAAAATCTTTAAGGAAGAGTCAGTTCATTTCTTACTTTGCTCAGTGTGAACAATTTGGACTGGTTTCCTCTGTGCAGGTCTCCAAAGAGTGAAGTACCTTGGAAAAGAGATTTCCAAATATTTTCAGTGTTGAATGGAGTCAGGTAGCTCTGTGCAGTCTTTCCTATATGCCTTTAGTTAACTATGCACAGAAAAGACCAGAAGGTGGGCAGGGGTTGAGGCAGGTCCTAAGCTGACTGAGGGAGATTCGTTATCAGCAAGGATGGAGACAAGAAAGCTGTTTGTTCCTCATTCCGAGTGTCAAACTACTGACCTCTGACCATCACCATACTCTCCCTGATGACATCAAGCTGGCCTGTTGTCTGTTGGGGGGAGGATGAGCTATGTCAGCAAACTTTTAGTCATGTCAGTGGATACTGTTTTAGTTCTTCCCTTTTTAGTGTTATGGCAGTGATTCCTGAAAAGCAGGATGGGGAGAACAAGAGATCTGCCTAGCATATTTATCCCAGATCCTTCATATCTACAATAATCGCTTTAAGAGCTAGTTACAATCCAAGCCCAAATAAATTTCCCTCCTGACAGATATCTTATCTATTGCAAAGAGCTGAATTTTCTGAGATTCCTCTCCTGCTTGCTGCTTCCCTTAAAAGGGTAGATAACATACTAACTCTATAAGCTATCCAGCACACAGGAGGAAGGGAATTGCTTGCCTGACTCAACTGGCCTCTTGCATCTCTTAAAGGGAGAATTAATAAACAAAGTTGGGTGACCCTTTGAAGGCACACTTGCAGTGCATAGCATGGCAATGATAAAAAGACAGCAATAACCCAAAGCATTAGCTGATTCTTGGACTATTAAGAAATAAAATTCAGAAAAATTTAAAATGTTAATCAGTTATTTTAAAATACCTTCCACTTTGATACATGGTTGACTACATGTAACTTTGGCAATTTAGATATTTAAAGACACTTAATAGACTAGTTTTTGAACTTCTGGAGATGAGAATATTTGGGCTTATTCCTTCACTGTACACAAAATGGAAAAAGATTACTTCAGACTTTATCCTTTTTAAAAGTATGACTTGTTAACACTAGACAAGTTTAATATAGTTTCAGCAGAGAATTTTGTGCACTGCCCCTGCTTGAAGGAGACTTTGGGACTATCCAAAGAATTATCTGAAAAATCTGTCTATGAAACCCCAAACAGGCTTCTTAATGCAAAATTGAGCCTCAAAGTGGGACTGTGCTCTTTTCTTTGAGATCCTAACTAAGACACACTTTTTCCTTAGTTAAAAAGAATCTTGAAGACAACCAAAATCATTATGAAAAACAATCTTTTTTTTTTAATTCCAGGTTTTATAACAGCTTGTACTTTATTACATATGCAACCCCACTATACCTGCCAGTTGCTCCCCACTCCCTCCAAAGTATCATCTTCTTGATATCAGCCCCTTCTTGAGGCAACTAAGCTATCCCTTTCTTTCTGGGGCAGAACAGATGGGAGTCCCTAGAGCAGGCACTGGGCAGGGGGAGAGCTACAATTAATCATCATAGTCCTCTTACAGGTATTTAAACTTAAATAAGCACCCTTGGGGAGTTGTAAAGGGTTTTTAGAAAGGATAGATGAAGCTGCCCCTAAGTCTTTAATGGGAAAAAAAGTCAAACCAAATGAAAAAAAAAAAGTCAAACCAAGAAAGGTATATTTGTGAGAAGGAGGTTATAAAAAGTCATAAAAGGCAGAATTTCCAAATATTTTTAATAGATTTTTAACTAAAAAGTTCACTGTGATAACTCTATAGCAATAGCAAGCATTTCTTGAGCATATTAAGGACCCAATCTCCGTGTTGGGGATTCTAAAGTGAGTAAGACAGGATCCTTGTTCTCAAAGGGTTTTCTTATGTTGTTGGGGAAACAGATAAACAGCTGACAGCATGAAGCCAGGGATCATAAAAAAAAAATACATGTTCCAAGTTTGGGGATGACGGCATGTTATTCCTGCAAGGGACATCCTGATTATTCTACTGCACACTAGAAAACCAGGGTTAAGCATCTGGTTAATAGCAGTGAGGTGACCACATGTACATAACGTGGTAATGATTTTTCATGCTTGTAGAGCACGTTACTCTTTTTAAAGTACTTTACTAGACATTGTCTTTTGAGGCTCTTTATCATGTGAAATAAATTATCCAAATGCATGGATAAAGAAGTGGTGACGCAGAGAGGATAGGCAGCTTTGAGTAAGAGTATATAGCTACTGGGTGGTACTCCAGGCCCCAGGTCTCCTGACTCCTAGGCCTGCTTTCTTTCTACGATCCTCCAGTGAAAGAAACAGCCCTTCACTTCCCAAAGCATGTGGGGAGACACATAAGTTTCCTGAGATGCTATTTGTATTACGTAAAAGAAGGTTCCATTTTGAAATAAGTAAGATTCGTTCTCAATCTTCATCTCTGAGATCACAAGCAGTTCAGTTCTTCAGGGGAGACTTCCCTGGGCTCCCAGACCCCCTACTATGTACCCTCACAGCGCTCTCTACTTCCTACATTAGCATATAACCCAGTTTGTAATTTGCTATTTGTGTCATTATTTGATCAATGTCTCTTTCTCCTATACAACCACAATCTCCATGAGGCCAACTGTAATCTCCATGTCTCTTATTTACCAATATATGCTCAGCTTTTAATCTTAGCATATAGTAGTCACTCAAGCAGTGTTTGTTATAGGAATGTCTTAATTTAAGGTTTTTGAACTATTTATATTCCTTTAGGATACCCAACATGTGAGCAGCTTACTTGTGCCAATGGAGCCTGCTATAACACTAGTCAGAGATGTGATAAGAAAGTTGACTGCAGAGACTTCTCTGATGAAAACAACTGCAGTAAGTAATGTACACAAGATGTTCTGAAGTTGATTTCTATTGGCAAATTATGGATATCTCTTCTCAAGTTTGTGTTCAATGAATTCATATTGGAAGCTTGAAGTCAGCCATGGTGGGAGTATTTACATCATGGAAACTAGCAAACAATATAATTCAGGGTCTTTTTGTCCCTGGAGAGCTAGTTTTTAGACATTTTAAAAAATATATATATTTTATTGATTTTTTTTTTACAGAGAGGAAGGGAGAGGGATAGAGAGCCATAAACATTGATGAGAGAGAAACATTAATTCAGCTGCCTCCTGCACACTCCCTACTGGGGATGTGCCCGCAACCAAGGTACATGCCCTTGACTGGAATCGAACCTGGGACCCTTAAGTCCGCAGGCTGATGCTCTATCCACTGAGCCAAACCAGTTAGGGCAGTTTTTAGACATTTATGAGCATACTACTGAAAAATAAGAATTTCTTTTTAAACATGAGTCAGAATCTTCCTATGAGATTAAATGGCTACAGTGGAATTGAAATTCTCTCTTTTCTTTCCCTTCTTAACCTTGTGTCCCAGCTGAAGGATGTTCCCACAACCAGTTTCAGTGTGGCAGTGGGGAGTGCCTTTCTCATGACTACGTCTGTGACCACATCCCAGATTGTAAAGACGGCAGCGATGAACATTCTTGCAGTACGGTGATTTCCTTAAGCTGGTCCTGGTGTTAGGAGTGGTTCTCTCCCCGCTCCCTCCACCCCCCAACCCCCCAACATCCTATCAATATATCACTCTTTTCAAACAAAAAGGTCACTATGTCTGATGGCAGATGGAGCCAGAAGTTCATTTAGGGCCCATGGCATGAGCCTCAGCAGTGTTACTGGACCTGGGCTCCTTTATCTCCCAAGGATCTGTGTAGAGTTGAAGGGCTGCTGATGGACAGTTTGCATTCTTTCCTTAGGCTACAAGGGTACAGGGTGTACTGTATCACTGGGCTCTCAGGTTACCCAGACCTCAGGAATGGGTCTGATAGCATGGGTAGTCCAGTGCGAGAAAGGAGAAGGTCCCTAATAGCAACGGTCCTCACTTTCCTCTTTACTTTGAAGTTCTTACCCCATTGAAATTGGAGGGTCAGAAGAGTTTTATTGTGATGCAGGGGGCTTTCATTGTTTCCACTTTCCCACTCTGATCCTACTTTTCCTTCCATGCTGTTGCTTGTAATGCAAGCCATCTCTCTCTTATTGTTGCCACCTATGGACTCACTTTATTGGAATATATAGCTTGAAGTCTCTGAGAGTGTTTTACTAATTCCAATAAATTGCCAGCTATTTGTGATCATTCACTTACTAAAATCTATGATTTTTCTCCACACCCATTGTGATGAATTGGCACCCATGCCGTAGGGGTAATCCAGTATTTTCAATATCACCCTAATTTTCTATGAGCCATGTCTGATTCCTTTCTGGTGCCTTGGCTTATTTTAGAGACCTTATTAAAGAAGAACATGACATCATGGAGTAGGTGACTAAGGATCATTTGGTCCTAAATAGCAATTCCAGGGCTTGTGGTAAAGTAGGAGAATGTTAGATGTTGGCATGTCTATGGCATCTTTATTGGTTTGCATTCTCTGTTCTGTGTTAACCTACAGCTACTAGTACTGTCTTATTTTTAATCTTGAGAAACATAGACCAGCACCTGAGTTCACCTCCTGGACCCAGAGCTGCTCTTTGCTCCTTTTCCTTATTTTCCCCTTTCTCTTCCTTCTTTTCTTCATTTTTGTCAAGATACTTAGTTAAATTGATAAAGACATTTCAGTTTCCAGGAGCTCCGTTTAGGCAGCGGGGTGAGCACTGTGAATGTTTCCGAGTGCTCTGGGTCTTGGAGTACAGATGTGGTTTGTTTCCAGACTACGGGACCTGCAGAGGCAACCAGTTCACGTGCCCCAATGGCCACTGCATTAATCAAGACTGGGTTTGTGATGGAGACGACGACTGCGCAGATAATGGAGATGAAGATGGATGTGGTAAGAGATTCTGATTGAAAAGTGTTTTCTTAAAGTGTTTCCAGAACTTGTTTTTCCGATTTTCCTTGTTGAAAGTTATCTGTGTGTCAAGCACGTCTCAGAATTGTCTGGGATTTAAGGGACTTAATGGGTGGGGAAGCAAGAGACTCCACTAAAAAGACCCAGAACTCAGATATAGCATCTATTATAATTTCCTCCCTTCTACTATTAAGGCAATTATAAGACTGCTTATTTTAACTAGATTTATATGGCAAAGAAATAGGATGGAGAAGAAGGGAAAACTGGGGGAAATGTGAGTTGCCTTTGACCTAACCTTTAAAAATGACTTTGAATCATGGTAAAAGTTCAGTTCAGTTTTGTTTTGTTTTTAAATTCTGATTTCCAATCAGAGTGAGTGACATCCAGTGGTGGAAGAGAGGCCACAGAGGCACCATGAGAGATGGAGCCAGGGGTTGGTATTTGCAGGAGGGACTGCTCTCTAGGGAAGCGTTCAAAGATTCTATGAGAAGGAAACTGTCAATAACAGTCACTCTCTTCACTCTGCAATACCTCTAATAGTTCAGAAGTTACTAACACCCACACCATAAAGCAAGTTACTTATACTGTGCCAGCCCCGGTATAGCAGCAGCGATTTCACATTTCGGTGTCCCATCGAGTAGTCTTCCTACATTTGAGTTATAGTTTTTCTTACACTGTTGACGTTTCACTCAGGAAATAACCAAAATAACAGAATAAAAATTCAGAAATCCTGGTGTTACCTTAATAGCCTCTCTTCTGTAATTTGTGATTTAAGTAACTGAATCTTCCTTTAGGGGTTATTCATCTAGTTCGTTGATAATCCAGATCCATACTTGCAATTTACTTTTATAACCTGGCTGGGGACTGCCTCCCCCAGAAAGAGTGAAACTTAAATAATTCCATTTTGCCACTCTTTAGAAGCTCAAAAAAAGTTCACCAGTAGAATTAGAAGCTAGATAGGCCATTTGAGACTTCTACCCGATCTATATCCTCTCTTAACCATGGATTAAAATAAAAACAACCGGCTTCATTCCTCATGTGGTTGTAACTTTCTTTCTTTTTTCCCCTCTCCACAGAAAGCAGTCCTCATCATTTTCATAAATGTTACCCAGGTGAATGGGCTTGTCCACAGTCTGGAAAATGCATCCCAATGACAAAAGTCTGTGATGGAATTTTAGATTGTCCATCAGGGGAGGATGAAGGCAATGCCACTGCACTACGACCTTGTGGTGAGTATGGAAGTTTATCTGGGATCTTTCAGATAAATAGGCTTCTGTTTTTTTAATGACAGAATCCCAAATATAGAGAATATCAGTTGGTGTTTGCATAACAAGCTGTCCCAAGACTTACCGGCTTAAACCCACAAACATTTGTTATTTCTCACAGTTCTGTGGGTTGCCTGGGGAGCTCTTCTGACCTAGACCAGCTCACTCCCTGGTCAGGATGTTGTGATAAAAGCTCTGGCTAGTCCAGGCTTGTTTACGTGGTGGTGGAAAGGGCAAACCCGAGTGCACACGCTCTTTTTAAGCCTCTGCGTATGTCATGTCTTATTGGCCAAAGCAAGTCACTTGGCCAAGTACAGTGTCAGTGGTTTGAAGAGATAGGCGCCACCTCTTGATAGGAAGTGCTTCAAATATCTGTAGCTTTTTTTTCTTCTTCGATCCAGGCACAATGATTTTAATGCCAATTTTAATGACTCTAAAGAAGATTTTATTCCCTCGCTGATAATTATGAAAAAGTCTTGTCTGATTATTTTCAAAAAAGAAGTTTCTGGTTCCTGGGTTATATACTTGAGTTATTTTTCTTCTTTTTCTGTTGCTGTAGAACAGTGGTTCTCAACCTGTGGGTCGCAAGCCCTTTGGAGGTCGAACGACCCTTTCACAGGGGTCACCTAAGACCATCCTGCATATCAGATATTTACATTATGATTCATAACAGTAGCAACATTAGTCATGAAGTAGCAGCAAAAATAATTTTATGGTTGGGTCACAACATGAGGAACTGTATTTAAAGGGCCAGAAGGTTGAGAACCACTGCTGTAGAATATTCACCCCACCATCAACCCATGAACTCTGGACAGCTGACTGTCCTCTAAGAGAATAACAATTTATGACTTTGGTTTCATCAATGGTGCATTCTAAAGTATTCAGTACTTGCCTAGAAGCAACTATGTACCTGTAACCCTAAGGCCTCTTTTTTTTTCCTCCTTGGAAAAAACATGTAATGTTTAAATATACAGAGACTTACATGGCATTCTTCCCCCCATCACCCCATTTCATTTAGAGGCCCTTTTTGAAAATCTTAATAAGAGATATATAGTCATAGTGCGAAACAAAATTAAATAGTACAAAATAAAATAGAAAATATAAAACTTGACAGAAAGAAAATAGTCACCTGAAATCCTACTACTTGAAGCTAGCTAGCCACAGTTAATGTTTTTGGCGTTATTTTCAATTCTGTCACTTGGGAATTCTTGACCCTTTGTATTATGTAGACAAAGATAGACTTATGACCTGATTTTCCAATAAATAGCTTTTATGATGACCTATAAATAGTTATAACTTTAAAAATAACTTCTTAAAAAAGATGAATTGAACTTTCGTACCACAAATTGCAGTTAGGCTTGAATGGTGACAGAATTTCTTTGCTTTGACTTCATGGTTATTTAGCTTTTATGTTTGAAAGATGCAGTACTTACTTCATAGGTAAATGAGTCTTGTTCAGAAATGACCATTCATTTATTTTTTCTTTAAATTTAGTTTAATATAATTTTTTTCCATCACCATGAGGTGACCATTCAGTTAACAAAGTGTTTTTCTCTGTTTAGATGTGAGTTTGTGTCCTTTCTTGAGCTGTGAGTATCAATGCCACATGGCACCATTTGGAGGGGCGTGTTATTGTCCTCCAGGTTATGTCGTGGACCAAAATAACACCCGGAAATGTGTCGGTAAGTGACAGGTGGGAACACGTGGCCATTAATCACAGTGCTTGCCACACTGATGAGGTCTGTGATCTTTGACAAAAAAGAGTTTGTGCTTGTGGATAAGAGTATGGTCTATATAACAAAGAGCAACAGTCCTCACGGAACACCTGAACAATATGGAGTTTTATTTAATTCTGAGTTTTTGTGAGGTGCACAAGGCAAAACAGTGGTTCTGTGGTGAGTGAGTTGACTGGCCACATGGATACCTGCCTACTACCTGATGATGGAAATAGTCTTGTATTTTCTTTTTAAAAATTTGGACGCAGTGTTGGTACAGTCATATTGGTTTTTAAATACTGGAATACTTCCCTGCGGTTCGTATATAGCTGTTCCCTTCAACGCCATGAAGTGCCTTACCCTGCTCCCCTGGCTTCTTCTCTAGTATGCTCAAACCTCTCCCGGGTCCAGCAACTAAAGAGTGGCACACAGCAGAGGGTCAAGAGGTCACTGCTGCACTGACCACACTGGCCCATGCTCTGCTGGTTGTTAATCCCATTGATTTTTACCTCTACTTGAAGCTAACATTCAAGAACAAACTCTCCCGGCCGGTGTTGCTCAGTGGTTGAGCATTGATCTATGAATCAGGAGGTTACAGTTCAATTTCAGACAGGACATATGCCCACGTTGCAGCTCGATCCCAAGTGGTGTGTGTGTGTGTGTGTGTGTGTGCGTGCGCGCGCGTGCTCGTGTGCACAGGAGGTGGCCAATCAATGATTCTCTCTCATCATTGATGTTTCTATCTCTCTCCTTCTCCTTTCCTCTCTGAAATAAACAAAAATATATTTTAAAAAAGAGAGAAAGAACACAGTCTATAATGTTGCTTCCAGCTGATGGCTCATATTGAACTAGGCACCAGTGATTAGGATGGGCTCTTATGATGGGAAAAGTAGACATGGCCAAGTCATTGATTTTCACGTTTTCAAGATTTAAACATGACTTTTTAATGCTCTGATTTCTTTTATTTCTTTCTAATTTTTGATATGTGAATAAATGTAGTAGCAGAAAGTGACCATAGAGGTTTAATGAAAAAACTTTGTTTTTGCTGGTGTTGGGAAAAGGCATCTGGAAAGCAACTGAAATGTTTCATTAAAATTAGTTTTCCCAGGATATTTGTGTTCATTTGGTATTCCTTAGAAATTTGAGATTCTTCAAGGCTTTCTGGAAAAAAGCAAACATGGCATACATAAGAAATACTTTTATAAAAGTGTCTCTTCCGAAGTAATTTCTAAAATATTCATTTAATTTGGTCCAAAAGACTGAAGTTGGATAAACCCAATGAAGTTATTCAGTCTTTAGTCTAAGCTCATGGTATCCAACTTAATTGTTCTTGCATAATTATGCTTAATCTTAGTAACTACTCATAGCCAGAAAAACTTTTAAAATCAGAAATAAACTCTGGTTTAACAAGTTAAACTTGGAACTCTTGAGAAAGTCTATTCCTCAGTGTTATTGAGAACTGTATTAATGGGGCTGATTTACCTGTAATGCCAAAAAACATGGGACTTTTTTTTTTGGTCTGGTAAAGCAATCCAATTGACGTTGTCCTTGTGGTGTTCAAAGTGGGGAATATTAGGTTTCTAATATCACAGACCATATCCCAAAGTTTGCCCATGATCTGATTGCTCCTCTTAACTACATTCAACAAGACATCTTAAGATCAAGTGCTTTATCTAGGTCAGTGCGAGAGATCCTGAAGACTTAGAGATTACTCAGAATTATTTAAGAAACCCCCAAATTTCTAATAATTTCAAAACACTTTATAAATAAACCATTATGACCCTCAGCTGGCATTAAATGAGATTGCAGAACCCTTTTTGTGTTTTATCATTATCATTACACTGGGGATGCACTTAAGAAATTTAAAAATATCTTTGACACGAATGTCCTCCTTTGTTGGGTGGCGAACTGACTTTGGAACCCCTGCCTGTGCTCCCTGGCGTTGCTGCGAGGCAGCTCATCTGTAAGTGCAGGCTGCTCCTTTGTCTTTGGCAAATGTCAGCTTCCCACCCCCCTTGACTGCCACCCAGCTGCCAATCCGATTTCCAGTCTTTCAGTTGTCCAGGCATTGCCTCTTAGTAGAAAAGGAATTCCGACAGAAATACCAGAAGCCGTATTCTCAGTATTACATCAGCTTTCCTCTGTTTTTCCTTTCTCAATCCCCAGAGAGGAGTTGGGGCTAGCTTGCCTTGCAGTTGGAACTTGATAGGCCTTATGTCTTTTCAGTAAAAATGACTTACTCTTTCAGAATCCGTAGTTCAGTCTTGTGAGCCCCACACCCTGTTCTCAGGCTTCTTTTTTTCTTCTCATGCTGGAGTCCAGATCGCACAATTTCCAACATCTTTCCCCCAGATCTAAGTCCATGATAAGCTCTGGGTTATATTTCCAAGTGTCTAGGGCTTCTTATATGCCAGAAATCTAGGCCACTTCAAAAAAATATTTTTTTTTTTTGCAGCCATTAAGAAGTGAAAAACCACCAGAGCATGGTTTTCCTATTGAACCTATTAGTGAATGTAATACAGAAAATTGCAATATGATACCCAAGATAATTTCAGAATTTATAGGAAGCCTTCAGTTCATAGCACACTGGAAGCAGTATGGTCTGATTCTGGGGCACTGGTTTTAAGTTCCATGAGGAACATCTTTCATTTTCTTCAGCATGTGCCTGGGACTTTAGCACAGATAACCTCATTTGGTGATCAGCTCAGAAGTCTACATTTGAGGGCCTTTGTAAATGTGAGTCCCTGCCACCTGCAGAGACTTTTCTGTGACCTTCCCTGTCCTTCCAGAATGTATCTGTTGCCCTTGAGTTTTGAAGCTGAGTTAACATTTATTTCAAAGAAGATTATATGTTGCTCTTTTTGTAAAGAGAACTCATTCGTTTCAACATATGACATTATGAAACCAGTTACAGTTACTTCAGCTGAGCTTTTAGAAGATTTGCTTTGGTTTGCTCTTTTTTAAAATGATTTTTAAATTTATTTTACATTTATTATTTTTAAATTTTTATTGTTGAGATTATTACAGATGTCCCTCTTTTCCCCCACTTTGTCCCCCTCTCCCAATTCCCGCCCTGCCCTAGGCCATTACCACCTTATTGTCTATGTCCATAGGTAATGCATATATGCATATAAGATCTTTGTTTAATCTCTTCCTACTCCCTGACCGCCCCCCTTCCCTCTGAGAACCATCAGTCTGTTCCATTTCCATGCCTCTGATTCTATTTTATTCACCAGCTTATTCTGTTCATGAGATTCTTATTTGTTTATTTTAATTTTTAGGTTCAATTGTTGATAGGTATGTATTTGTTGCCATTTTGTTGTTTATATTTTTGATCTTCTTTTTCTTCTTCCTCTTCTTAAAGAATACACTTCCACATTTCATATAATTCTTTAGCTTTTTCTTGTCTGTGAAGCTCTTTATCTGAACTTCTATTCTAAATGATAGCTTTGCTGATTAGAGTAGTCTTGATTGTAGGTCCTTGCTATTCATCACTTTGAATATTTTTTGCCACTTCCTTCTGGCCTGAATACCCATAATTCAGATGTTGGTATGCTTGAAGTTACCCCAGAGGCTCCTTACACCATATTCAGATTATTTTATTCTTTTTTCTTTTTGCTCTTCTGGTTGAGTGTTTTTTGCTTCCTCATATTTCAAATTGTTGATTTGATTCTCAGAATCCTCTACTGTTGAATCCCTGTATATTATTCTTTATTTCAATCAGTGTGTGCTTAATTTCTGACTGGTCCTTTTCCATTTTTTTGGAGGTTTCTAGTAGATTCTTGACTAACTTTATAACCATGGTTTTGAACTCTATATCCAGTAGTGTGCTTTCTTCCATTTCTTTCATTTGTGACATGTTTCTCTGTCTTCGCATTTTGACTGCTTCCCTGTGTTTGTTTCTGTGTATTAGGTAGAACTGCTATATCTCCTTGAGTTGGTAGAGTGGCCTTGTGTAGTAGGTGTCCTGTAGGGCCCAGTGGCTCAGCCTCCCCAGTCACCTGAGCTGGGAGCTCTAGGTGCACCTCTTTATGGGCTGTGAGCACAGTCTCGTAGTTGAGTTGTGATTGCTATTGGTGTTTCTGGGAGGAATTGACCTCCAGGCCAATTGACTGTGAGGATTAGCTGTGACTACAGTGGGAGAGCTGCTGTGTAGGAGACACCCCTCTGGAGCCGGACTTGCTTCAATGAAGCTTTGGTGCTCACTGAGTCTGCCCCTTGAGTGTGTTGCTTATGGTTGTGTAGAGTTGTAATCTGGTATGGTTCGACACTGACCACTGGGTACACTGGCTCTTGGGTCTCCAGGGAGGTGCAAAATCAGCCACTGCCTGGGGCCACCCAGCAGGAGCTACAGAGAGATCTTCAGATTCCTCCTCTTTGTATTGGATTTGGAAGTGCCCAGATGAGGCCCAGCTATGAAGCAAGACAGGCCGGTGCTGGTACCAGGTCTTGGGCCTTTTATTGATAGGTTTGGGGTTCCTCACCCAGCTGCAGCTTGTTTGGCAGATTTTAGCCTGAGCAAGGACAGGCCATTCATATGCAAAAGCCCCTGCACACAGCTTGGGTGGGATTTTAAATGAATGAGGTGGGGTCTTAGGGAATCATCAGGGTGGAGTAAACAGAAATGGCTGTCAGTCAGCCCTGCGACCTGGAGGGTCCCAGCATAGGAACAATGATTCCTGTGAGCAACTCTGTCTGGGAGAAAGCTGCCCCCGAGTTCCTGACCCAATAATCCAGTTCCTCCTTTTATGTGTCTCCTAGAGCCTTGCCCTGGTGCTGGAGCTCAGAGGAAGCAGGACCTTATAAGTTCAGTTTGTAGTGCCGGTCTTTTAAGGGAAACAGCTGGGTCCCCAGCAGTCTCTGTGTCACTGAGCCCCAATTCTCACTGGTTTTTACAGCCCGTAGTTCTTACTGCCCATTGGCACTTCTTTTCCCAGGTCTGGGATCCTGGGCTGGGGTCTGGTGTAGGGCTGGGAGCCCTTGCTTCTCCAGGCGGCCTCCACAGAGATGACCTCCCTCCTGATTAAAAACGGCACATATGGGTGCTGGACCAGCCCGTTCCATGCCTCCCCACCTCCTATCAGTCTCAGTGTGCTTTCTTCTTTACTTCTCTAGATGTGGGACTTCCATTCATCCAGTTTTCCAGTGGTTCTGGATGATGATTGTTCTATATTTTAGTTGTAATTTTGATGTAGTTGTGAGAGGCGGTGAGTACAGGCATTTACCTGTGCCGCCATCTTCAAATCTTTCTGGGTTGCTCTTTCAAGCATTTTAATTTGACAAATACTCTCTCTATGGCTGTCATCCTCTGTGTGTCTGACTCATTACAGAGGCATCAGGTGTTGAAAACCTATGTGACATTTCTCATCTTAGACATGGCTCCCCAGTGAATGCCTCAGTCATGATCAAAAATAAAATGAATAATCCTGACATGGAATCTCGTATCTTTCCACCATTCATCTGCTGCTGGTAGCCTTGACCTGGTGGAGTGCTGAGGCAGTTACAGGATTATTGTTTCTGATTGACAGGACATGCTATTTGTTGACAGAATGACATTGTGGTGCAGAGTTAGGGCAGAAAGGTCATTCAGCATGGAGGGATTTCACAGCCAAAAGGATCAGAGTGTGTCCAAGGGGGTCTAAGCTAAAAAGGGATTTTTGAATAATTTTCAAACCAGTATTTGTTAGTTGGAAGGGACAAAAAGTAAAAAGGAAAGAAAAGTAACAGGGTGGGAGGTGGGTATTGTAAAGCAATGTTAGCGTTTTATATAGTTTCCAATTCCTTTCCTATGCTCATGAAAATACTTAAGTCTAGCCCTCACTGGTTTGGCTCAGTGACTAACGTTGGCCTGTGGACCAAAGGGTCCCGGGTTCAATTCTGGCCAAAGGCATCCACTGTGGTTGCAGCAGCCTCCTCCCTGGTCCGGGCTCTGGTCAGGGCACATGTAGGAGGCAACCAATCGGTGTGTTTCACTCACATCGATGTTTCTCTCTGTCTTTCCCTCTCTCTTCCACTCTCTCTAAAAATCAATGGAAAAATATCCTTAGGTGAGGATTAAAAAAAAATACTTAAGTCTACTTTCTTGCCTTTAAGTGTAATTGACTATGGATATTAATTAGCCTTTATTTTTCTCCAAATGGAGAATATAGTTTTGTTCAGTCACTAAAAGTGACAGGGATTTATATACACTTTCTAACTTTTAAAGTACGGATAGCCCACATGATAGGAGGGGTATTTGCACCCACAGAATCCTAGTTATGTCTTTTCTACTTTTGGTTTTCTTTCCCTGCTCCAAGGTGACTTCAGACCCTTAAGCATAGTCTCATCCGTCTTGCATTCCAAATGAGGTCATGACACTCTGGAAGTTTGAGGGCGAATGTCCTGTACTTTCATTCCTACTGAGGCGAAGACTCAGGTGCTGTTTTCTCAGGGCTGAGGGGAGGCACAGAAGAGACAGATGAATGAAGACTTTTTTATGTAGTCGTATGTCTTTTTATCTTGTCATGTTCAAATTGGATCAATTTTTTTTTAATTAGTTACAATCCTTGGAAAGAAAAATATTCTGGCCCATGTTGTTACGTTCGAGAAAACTAGGACCATTAGCTCATTCCCATGATGTTCTTGAGCTTTCTTGTTAAGGAGTCACGAGATGGTGGGCCATCCAGCAGGTGTGGTAGAATCCAATTCAAAACTCTGACATTTGCTGTAAATATAATCAGATCCAGAAATCTAGACGATTCTAGATTTGAGGTTACAGTAGTTTTAGGAATTCTAATTTACATGGCACGGGAACCCTGTGGAAATAGGCTGCGGAGGTCATCCTTCCCGGGAAGAGGGTGGGGGGAAGGAGGGTGAAGAGTGGATGTCAAATGAAATATTTGGCAGCAGTCTACCAAAGATAGGATAATTTCTGTACCCCTTAAGATTTATAGTTTAAGTTTAAGAAAGACTCTTTTTTTTAATTAAAACTCAATGTTTTATTTATTTTTTTAAAATTCGAAGCAATTACAAACTTACAGAAGCGATGCACAGAACAAAGACCTTTAAGACAGACTCTTTATAGTATGTGTTGTTATCTCCTCTATATTGTATTGTTTATAGGTCAATTATATTGAGTCACTTTTTAAAAAGGGTTTATCTTCTTTTAAAAAAAATCCTCACCTAAGAATATGCTTTTTGTTGATTTTAGTGAGGAAGGAAGAGAGAGAGAGAGAAAGGAAGGGGGAAATAGAAATAGAAACATCAATCTGTTGTACCCCATATGCTTTCTGACTGGGGATAGAACATGCAACCTTTGGCTGTATAGGATGGCACTCCAACCACCTGAGCTACCCAGCCAGAGTTTGAATCACTGTTTTACACAGTGGGACTACGATGGCATTGAACAGAGCTTTATCATGTAATGTACTTTCAATAAATAGTGATTAAATGAATGAGTAATAAGTTAATGAAAAGCTGAAGAGAAGTACTTTTCATGTCAAAATGATTTTAATTTCATTTTGGTTATGATTTTAAAAAAGGTTCATTGATTTCAGAGAGGAAGGGAGAGGGAGAGACATATAGAAACATCAATGATGAGAGAAAATCTTTGACAGCTGCCTCCTGCACACCCTCTAATGGGGATGCAACCCAGGCATGCGCCCTGACAGGGAATCGAACCTTAACTTCCTGGTTCATATGTCAACCCTCAACCACTGAACCACAGTAGCCAGGATGATTTTTGACATTAGAAGAAACCTGGGTAAAGAGACCTTTCCAAATAGTTCATTGTGTCACAGATTTGTGTCTTTTTTTTAAAAAAATATTTTATTGATTTTTTTACAGAGAGGAAGGAAGAGGGATAGAAAGTTAGAAACATCGATGAGAGAGAAACATCGATCAGCTGCTTCCTGCACACCCCCTACTGGGGATGTGCCCGCAGCCAAGGTACATGCCCTTGACCGGAATCGAACCTGGGACCTTTCAGTCTGCAGGCCGACGCTCTATCCACTGAGCCAAACCGGTTAAGGCATACAGATTTGTGTCTTATTGAGGGGCTGCATATAAGGCAGGTCTTACATTTTTGAAGTAGCACTATCCAATAGAACTTTGTGCAGTGATGGAGATGTTCCATATCTGTGCTCTCCAGGATGGTAACCACTAATCATAAGTGGCCATTGAGCCACTTAAAATGTTGCAGGTCATTTTAGTTCCATATAATAAAGGACAGTTTTACAAGGAAGCATTTACATCAATATTCAGATATTTATAAAGCAACATTAATAAGTGAAATGCAATACCACAGGGCTAGGAATCCAGGCAGTGTTGTGCATCTTCTGTAAAGTTGTCTTCATGTAAATTTTAAAAAACTTATTTAAATGCCGTTGGGTTTTCCTGCTGGGGGTCTTGTCCAGCATCTAGAAGGGTTCAGGAATCTGGAGAAGTGCTGCTTTGTAAATTATTAAAGAGTCTAGAGACGAAACATAATTTTGGAAGGCGTTTTGTGGGGGGCAGAGGAGCGTGGCTGTAGGAACCAAGTTCTGCTGTCTCTCTGGACCCCTTGCTTTTTATTAACACAAACTGTCCTAAAGCAAGGTAGATATACATATCAAAGGCAAGGTTTAGTATATAGAATCCATTGTCAGATTGGAGGAACTGCCTTCGGCAGTTCAGGTGTTTGGCCAGTAGGAGGCAATGACATGTAGATTAAAATGCCCTCAGCTGTCCGGCCGCAAGCAATCATTTATGCATCCTTTTCAGGTTTGGGGAAATGTCCTTAGCCATTTCCAGCAAGCAATCCTCAAGGTTCCATCAACATTTTGATGAAACTTCTTGCATTTATGACATGCTGGAATCAGCTTCCGGCATTTCCCCCACCCCACAGATGCCTGCTCTGAATTCCTATTTTTTATTGTATGTCTAGATTCTGTGCTACCTTCAGAGGGTGTATATTTAGACAGACTCATCACCATATTCCATTACAGCTTGTCCAAATTTTTTTTCAGAGGGTGATCAAGAAATGCTGGTAAACATAATTGCAAATGTTTATTTCCCACATGGCAGATTTTGATGATTGCCAGGTATGGGGAGTTTGTGACCAGATGTGTGAAGACCGAGTAGGCCATCACCAGTGCCACTGTGCAGAAGGCTATATCTTGGAGCATGAGCGGCATTGCAAAGCCAATACTTCCTGTGAGTAAAAGGAGGGCACTTGTATCTCTGAACACTATACTTGTGACTAATATCCTGCTCCCAGAGCAGATGGCAAAAGAAATAACAGCATCTATGCAGACGGGAGGATTAATCATCACAAGTCAAGAGTGGCGCCTGCTGCCGGAAGAATGGGTCAACATGAATGATTAGGGACTAATTTGTTAATTAATGATGATCATTAATAGTTTTTTTTTATTGGTTGCTTGTTCACTTTGGGCTTGGACTATTCTGTCACCCACCACATTTAATTGTGGACTAAATTTTATGCCTACATTTGACCTACTGGAGCATCCATTGTTTTAATTAGTTTATCTACCACAAATGTAGGTGACAAGTATATATAGAAATAATTTTGTTATGCAAGATTTAGGGATGGTTCCAAACGGACTTGCTAAATTTGGATTACAGTTTATGAAAATGCCTTTTTTTCTGGGTGTTTTGTTGGAATCAATCTAAGAATACTACTAGGTTATAGTAGAGAAAAGTCCTGGGGAAAATCTGTTAAAAAAGATTACTCTCCCAAAGCATTTTTTTGTCACTATGAATTTCTGGGTGAGAAGATTTCAACTTTACTCCTTTTCCCAGTTGATTTTGAAGTGCCTTTGGTGGCCTTCTGAAACTTATCTGCTCACATGACTGATGAATGGCTAGTTATTTTTGAGTAGAAATACTACTTTTGCTGTGCATTAATTTTTAGGTACTGCTGATTTTTAAGAAATAAATTTATTTTTGAATAGATAATATGTTCATATATTAAACATTTTAAGTATAAGAAGTAATTAAAGTAAATAGTAAAATATCTTCTTCATCTGTTCCCATATGCCCAGTTTCCATTTCCACTTTCCCATGGATAATCACTGTTTATTTCAATTCTAGGGATTGTTAAATGCATAAGCAAGAACATACAAATATATTGAAACCTATTTTTTACACATAGTTTTGCATCTTGCTAATGTTACATAATATATTTTCAAGAGTTTTCCATATCAATGCAGAGAGCTCTTTCTCATTCTAGCAGTAGCATAGTGGTGACCTAATATTCCATTGTTTTAGATGTACATAATTTACTTAACTAGTCCCCTAGTGATGGACTTTTTATATTGATTTTTTAAAACTGAAAGCATTTTTTAAGCTTTTTTAAAGAATTTTTAAAATTAAATTTTGGGGGTTGACATGAAGATTATGTAGGTTTCAAGCGTACATTTCTATGACACATGATCTGCACATTGTATTGGGTGTGCACCACCCAACGTCAAGTCATATTCTGTCACCATATATGTGACCCCTTTTACTCCACCCCCTTCTCTCTGATAACCACCACACTGTGTCTACGAGTTTTGTTTGTTTTCCTTTGACTGTGATGTATAATATTCATTTTTCATGTTTGTGAGTATATAAATATAGCAGATTTAGATCATTCATTGCCATGCGATTTCCCAGTAATTGTGTTTTTTACACAATCTAAAATTACACCTGGGATGAAGTGCTTATTTCTTCTAGGATTCTTGAAAAAAATCTGATATATCCCCCTCAGTTGAATTGAAAGTGAATTGGACTAGTAGTCAGGACACTTGAATTCTTGGCAGCCTCTGTTCCTAATTTATTGTGACTTTGGACACTTCATTAAGAATCTGTTCCTCAGTTTGCCCATCTGTAAAATGGGTAGAATGACACCTATATGCCTGCCTCAGAGGTTTATTTTACAATAAGAAATACATAGAACATATTTGAAAAAGCTGAAAAGCATACCAGTTATAAGTTATGTAATCATTGTTCATTTGAAGGAGTGATAATGCCTTCCTTTTTCACATTTAGCTGGTGAGGCCTCTGTTATCTTCTCCAATGGGCGAGATTTGCTAATTGGTGATATTCATGGAAGATCCTTTGAGGTCCTGGTAGAATCTCAACATCGTGGAGTGGCTGTGGGTGTGGATTTTCACTATCACCTACAAAGAATCTTTTGGACTGACACGGTGTTAGATACGGTAAATAGAAATTTCAGGAGCATACTTGGGAGCTGATAGAACCCCAAGCACAAAGTGTTGATAGCTTTTTACTTTGGGGGGAGAAGAGGGAAAAGTTTCTTTGTTTTCTAACAAAAAGGGCCCTTGAGATATTTTATGTTAATCAGCACCTTTTTCCATGCTATACTATTACATGGGACCCATTAAACAAAGCAGTCTATTATATGGATTAGCCTTGAGCAACTTTTAATTTTATTCGAAATGGAGTCCAAAAGCCTAATTAAAAGAAATAGTAGACATTCTTTCAAAACTGGATAGATATTTGGTAGTAATTTTTGAAACTTGATCATTTTAAATGTAAAAAGTACTCTGCTTTCCTGTATGATAAAAATCAGATTTTACCTTCATCTTCTAAATGGAATCATAATCGAGGGTTGGGTAACAAATATTGACAGTTTTTTGACTAACAGCCAAATTTTCATTACACTGACTTATTTGGAAAGTGTTATGGATTTAACTTCAACTTTGAGTAATGTGGTGGTGATTTTTAAAACATAAATTTTAGAGACTCCTAAAGAGTTACATGGAATTTTATTTCTCTCTCTTATATTTCTTTGTACCATAATTAAAATTCTAATTCAATTAAGTTGCATAAAATTTTTAAGAAGTATAATAACCTGGGTTTTTCTTTCAGGTTTTTTCAGCTAATATTCATGATTTAGACCCTGAAGAAATTATCAATGTTTCCATTGATGATCCTGAGAATCTGGCTGTGGACTGGATTAATAATAAACTTTATATGGTGGAGACCAAGGTTAACCGTATAGATATGGCCAATTTGGATGGAAGCCATAGGGTTATTCTTATAACAGAAAACTTGGGGCATCCCAGAGGAATTGCCCTGGATCCAACTGTTGGGTAAGTGATCCGAAGATGTACAGATTCCAGTATTTTTGGAGTTTTCTCTCTT